TAAGTAAAATATCCTAGTTAGCTATATTTAAAGTAATTTCCCATATTTTTCTTAAAATTCTTAGGCTTTCTTAGGGCTTATTTACCTTTCTGGAGCTTATTTATCTCTATAAACTATAGTTTATAATAATTAGTAGAGTATTATAATCTCCTATAATTAGGTTAGTATCTAGGTATCTTTCCCTACTTATTAAGCTTATTTTTAAATAAGATAAAATTAATCCTAATTACTGATTTAATAAGTTTAGTAAAGATAGATATCTCTTTTTTCCTAAACTATAATTAGGCTTTAACTTCTGGCTTAAATCCTATAAAAAACTTAGTATAAAATATATTATTATTCTATTTTAAAATTCCTACCTATTTCTTAAATTTAACTATATAAGAACTTATATCTAACTTCTAGTATAATTCTAATAATTTCTTTTTAGCTAGATAAGCTTTATTAACTTATTAGAAATACTAATCTATTTCTCCTATAAATACTAAATAGCTCTAAAAAATCATTTTAATATTATATAGAATATCTCCCTTCTTTAAAATATATTAATTAATTTACCTTTAGATTTAAGTATATATATTTCCCTTTAAGTAGGAAATTATATATATAACTTTCTTTTCTTTAGTTTTAAGCTTATCCTAGTTCTAATAGATATAAATTTTAAACTAAAACCTAAAAGCCTTATATTTAGATTATTCCCTTTTAAAAGGTTTAGGTAGATTAACTTTAGGTTAAGTTATATTATTATTAAAGAGATTTTCGCTTCTAGAATCAGAATTTAAATTAGATAAATCAGAATTATTAGATAATTAAATATCTGGCAAGACTTCTAGATCTTTTAATAGTAATAGAGGTAGTAGAGGTATTACTATTTTAAATATTAATAGTTTAGTAGTATTTATATTTAAAATAACCTTAACCTTTTTCTTTAATAGATTAGACTATTATTAACTTCTACTACTTCTCTTAAAGATAGTAGATATAAGATATTATTCCTTATTCTATCTAATAATTTAGTAATTTAACTTTTATTAAAAATATTTTCCTAATACTAATTAGCTTTATTAATATAAGCTATTTTAGAAGGGATTAACTTCCTAGAGTAAAAGAATAATATATAATAAAAGCTTATTATAGAAGGAATATAATAAGATAGTTATATTTATAACTTAGAATAGTATAAACTTTAAGAGTATAAGAAAATATTTAAACTAACTACTAGATAAACTAGATAGTTAAATTATAAAAAGATATAACAGTAGTAGAGACAGGATGTTTATATAGACCTTATTTCTGGTATCTTTGTTGCCTGGCCTAAAGTAATTATTTTAATTATTCTTAAATAAAATAATTACTTTAACTAATTAGTAATACCTTAATCCTTAACTATTAGCTAATATACTTATTCTACTTATTATTAAGCAAAATGATTGCTCCCACTAATCAGCGGTACCTTAAATCCGTTCACGTGTTACCTCGTAACAAAAATTTAGTAATATATATTAAAGGAATTATAATATTATCTTCCTATATAGTCTTAACTAGTATCCTTAAATATAATTTATTTCTTTTTATAATTCAGCTATCTAAATTACTAAATTTATCTATTAGGCTCCTTTAAAAGGCTATCTAATTATTTAATTTATATTTATTTAGGTAATAGATTCTTAATTTTAATTCTAATTAGGTATTAATTACTAGCTCTTTATATTAATTTTTTTTAAGTACACCTTCTTATTCTAACTTAACCTTAAATTCTTTTAATTAATTATTAATATCTAGGCTAGTAAATTAAAGCACCTCCTTTTTATATATTTTATTAAGCTTAGTTATTTATTATTAAATAAGTAATTATAGGAAGTAAATAACTTCTATCTCTTAATATAAGGTAGATTCTAAACCCCTTATATTTTCTTATCTAGTAATAGATATTTTAATAGTACTCTCTTTAGTAATATTTAAAGTTATATTTTTTAATATTTTAAAATAATTATTTTTAATAAAAAGATAATAATAATAAAAATTAAGTAATACTATATCTAGTAATTTTAAATCTAAAGTAAATCTTCTCTTTTTTCTCTTATTCTCCCTTCTTTCTCCTCTTTTCTTATAAACTATTTTTTTTACTTTCTTTTTCTTATCTTATATACTACTTTTATCCTTCTTAATATTTTTTAGATAGTATAATCTAACTTAAATTAGATTAAGAAGATAGATTATAAATTTTAACTTTTTTAAAAATCTATAATATAATATATCTTAAAATTAGATAATAAAAAAATTTTAAAAAATTAGTTTTATTTTTATATAATTAAAAAAGATTAAATAGTAAAACCTTAATTTCTTTTTTATTATTATTTAAAAAATAATATTTTAAATATAATAATTTTAATAAATTTTAATTTATTATATCTTTCTTCTTATTAATTTTCTTTATAAATTTATATTTTTATTTTTTATTTTAATTTACTATATTTCTAGTATTATAAATAAAGATTATCCTTCCTTAAATTTTAAATATAGCCTTATTTTAAGTATTATTTATAAAGGTTTTAGACTAATTATTATTTTAAGGGGTAGGATACTTAATATTAAAGCCTTCCTAAAAATAAGAAAATTAAGAGGGAGAGAGAAGCCTCCTATAGATAGGAACTATAAAGAAACTTAGAAGTAAAATAAAATAATTAGGATAAAGATATAAAAGAAGATAAAGTAAATAAAAAAGATTAAAGTAAAGATAAAGTAAAATAAAATAAGATAAAGTAAAGTAAAGTAAAGTAAAGTTTTATATAAGGTAAAGTAAAGCTGGTTTCTATTATCTTATTCTTATCTAAAGCTATATCTCTCCTTTTTTTATCTTTCTTATCCTTCTTTTTTTACATATCCTTGCCATATCATATAATATCTAAGACCCTTGCTCCTGTGTCACATAATGCCCTTCAGAGTATAAACCATTTTCCCCAGTATAATAGCCTTTTATAGCTCCAGTCTTTTATGGCCTTATCTTTTGTGATGTATAATCTATACCAATATTATATATTATATGTAAGGTAGAGGTAGTAATAGCTACGCGAAAGCGTACTAAGCGATAATAAATAGAGAAATTACCTGAAATTAGTACTAAGGAGGAAGGTAGTAATTTGGATAATTTATTTAAAATTATTTTAGATGGTTCAGTGATATATAGGTATGGCGCGGTACTTGCGAATGTAGTGGTTTAATTTTAGTATTGCATATCTGGGGTTGTTGCATATTTGGGGTCTAGACCCTAGTAGTTAGTTAAATATATTCTTATATTTTAAAGCTTATACTATTCTAAGCTATAAATATAACTATCTTATCATATTTCCTTTTATAATAAGCTTTAGTTATGTAAGGGTATATATATTATATCACCCAGCTATACTAGCTAATTGAGCTAGTATAGCCTGTCTTTTTGAGCGATCCTCATGCGCAAAGGGTGGTTGCGTGACAA